GTTCATTCTGAAGTACAAATCCTGGCTTGTATCTTGTATAAAGAAGTTTCAAAAGATTGTCACTGAAGTTTGCTGGTCAAGGCAAATGGCAAACAAATGGATTCTGAGGCACAGCAATAAGGAAGATTAGGTATTATAGTTGCCTTTGTGGTCTGATCATGCTGCTTCTAGCAACATCACTGCAGGGGTTAGGGGTGACAGGTTTTTGCCAGTTTGCTCCCTTAAATACTTTGGAACCCACAAACACCTGCTGAAATTGAAGCTTTTCAAAYCCCAGACAGGTGTCAACAAGTTTTTGAGGTCCCCTGGCATGCAGGGCAGAGGGAGAGGAAGTGATTAACTTGGTGGATGGTGCTCAGGCTGGGGTTTCCTTGTGCTGAGAAGCCAGGAGTGATGCAGATTAAATCTTGAGGCAGCACTGAAAGAGAAGAAGTAGTCTTTATTCTTAACAGCAAATAGAATGCGTTTTCTCAGCAAATATTTTCCTATGCAGCGTAACCAATTACCAAATCACACACATACAACCTCTGCCTTAGAAAGAGCCCTACTGTTAAAATAAAGGAAGTCTCAGTGTTTATCTTGTTAACTCACGTCCCTGTAGTCGCCCTGAGTCATGTGGTGCTTTGGATGGACTGTGGGAGGGACTGAACAGTATTTTGCATGGCGATTACAGTGCCAAAAGGCTCAATAGTAATATCTGAGTCTCTTCAGTAGGGTGTAAGGCTGAGAGACTTGAGTATGTTCAAGCTGGAGGAGGCTTAGAGGTGACCCAACTGTGGCCTTCCAGAACCGAAAAAGAGCTCCCAAGAAAGATGGAGACAGACTTTTCACAAGTGCATGTAGTGACAGGATAAGGGGAATGGTTTTTAAATGGAACAGAGTAGATTTAGATTAGATAGATTACAAAAGATTCTTTACTGTGAGGGTGGTGAGGCACTGGCACAGGTTGCCCAGTTGTGGATGCCCCATTTCTAGATGTTTTCCAAGCCAGGTTGGATGGGGCTCTGAGCAGCCRGGTCTAGTAGGAGGTGTCCCTGCTCATGGCAGGGGTTGGAACTGGATTATCTTTAATGTGCGTTCAACCCAGSCTATTCTGTGATTCTATGACTTTATCCCACCTGCTGGTTTTAACTCTATGGAGGATGTACTGGTGGCRTGGGATCAAGCTTTGCTCAAGCTAAGCTGGGTGTCTAAGCTTCTCCTGCAGTCTTAAGATAAATTAGCACACCCAGTGAGGTGCATTGCACCTGAGAGGTAAATGTCTGTCCAAATCTGTTGGTGTGAATGTCAAACTCAGACGCAAATGTGTGAGTGTGGGCACTGAACATTGCCCTAGGAATTAACACACTGAAAAAGTTGGCACCTCCTGTCTCCTCTTTTCTGTTCTTWTCTTTTTGAGATTCACAGTACAGAGCTCAGTTTCTAGAGACATAATTTGAAATGAAATATTAATTACRACTGATATTTTAATGTCTCTTTGATCACTTCCACTTTGAACACAAAGAAAGAATTGTGTATTATCTAGTAGTAATAATCTAGAGTAATAATATATAGGATGTGATATAAACTATCTAGCTGGATTTTTAGAACATAGGAATTGAACTCTTTGGCTAGCATAGTTGAGCATGTCTGTGTAAGAGTCCAGAACCTGTGCCCATGTGACTCAACAAATCTAAGTGCCTGACTGTGAAAATAGTAAAAAAAAAAAATTAAATGAGAGAAGTCACTGACTAAATTCCTTACTCCAGAATTTTCAGGTGGAAAAAATCTGCAAGTGATCTTAAGCCCTTCTCAGAAAAATGACCGATACTCTTTAACTTCAGGGGTAGCAAATGTTCCTCTTGCAGTTTAARAACACTTTAGAGAACTTCTGTTACAACCATGTGTACTCAAGCTTATCTCATGTTGCTGTTTTATCTTCTGTGCAGTTAATCTTTCAAGAGTTGATTCTTATAATATTTCAGATGTGAGGAATTTTCTTTCTTTATTTAAATAAATAAATAAATTAAAATTTACTCAATCCAGACCATAAGTGAGTAGAAGGTTTTATGATACACGGGGTATATCTCTTGTAAATGCAGATGGGATAGTCTTTAAGCAGAGCATGCCTGGAAACTATCTCTACTTTGAGGCTGAATAAAAAAACCTCAGCAGTATCCAGTGGGCCTGAATTGGCAGATTTTTTACTGTCAGTCTGGACTCTAGCTCCCAAATGCTTATATGCATGGCTGAGCTACAACTACTTCTGCCAGTTTTCTGCTCCAAATCTTTTGCTGGTTTTGGAGTCACTGTKTAAATGACCACAAGAAACAGGTTTWATTTCTTCATATTTCTTTGTGTGGAAGATGACTTGTTGCAGAAGAGAACAGAGCTGGGCATCATTAAACTRGCCCATTTGTTACTAGCACCTCCTGGTCAGTCTATCAACAGCTATAAAAAGCTTTTAAAAGAATGCTTATGCTCTACTCTGGGCCAGAAATCATCTTTCAACAAATGTCAACTTGCTGACTAAGTCAAGCTCATGTCAATTGTTTTTTAAAGCATTTAGAAAAGCACTGAAAAATAAAACAAAAAACTCTCTCCYGGTGTTTCTTCAGTGGCCTCCAAAGAAAGCCTGCTAAAGGTGATCTTTGAAAATGAGAAGCTGTATCAGCAGCCAGCAGGTGACTTGGTGGTGGCCTGCAGACTGCCTGTCCTGCAGATTTCTTTTAAAAATAAGAAATGCCATCAATCTGAGCTAAAGTACAGCATGGCTGCAGGTAGGGTAAGGCAGAGGCTCAGCTCAGATGGGACCAGAGCTCACCCAGTTCAGTTGCTGCATCTAGCTGCTTTGAACATTTCTAGTTTTTGTGTTGTGGTTTTCAGTGTTTGCATGAGATGAATTGTACAGCAATTTCTTTTCTTCTGTGTAAGCTTTATTTTACTTTGGAGTATTTTGTTTTCTTGTCATGTTTAATAAGAATTCCGAGCACCTCACAATGGAAACCATGACCCTCAAATGCAGTTCCAGAATCCCTCATGAGCAGTAAACTAGGAGACTTTCAAAYCAATTTTCATGAACATTCTCCACAAAGTGGCACATGTAGTAGTCTTTCACTTGGAGTTGCTGCTTAATAAAGAGAAAAATGGAGAAAAACTTCATGTCAAAGCTTACAGCAAAAAGCTGCATTCAAAATAATTCTCTTTGGAAACATTTTAAACAGTATTTATTGCTTTGATGTTGCCTTCATCATATTTTAATGCTTAATTAAAAATAAAGCTCCTAGCATCTGAAATTATATTGCACCTTGAAGCTCAAATAGAGTAGTTTTGGATTTCAGTTTGKTTTTTTTTTCCTGAGACAAAAGAAAATGTCAGGCTGTTTGATCTTGGGTCATAGGAGAGGAGCATGCTGTTGGCACTGATATGATAATGTTGGTTTCCATGGGAATACTGATGTGAATGAAGATTACTTATGGGAATAAGGGCATGAAAGGGAAGGTCCACAGGCTCCAAGGAAAAGTTACTGAAAGAAATCTATAATTGTCTGTAGAGTCTGTAGTGGTTTCTCAAGTGTAGCAGGGAGCTGGACAGAACGAGAGGACTCTGTTCTTGTTCCTTAAGGATTTGTCAGGAGCGTGCTATCGGATTCCTTATCTACCCTGAAGGTGATGGATGGGTGAGGGCCTGGAGCAACTGGGCTGTCTCTGAGCTGCAGCCYGTTCCTCACTGCTGCACACTCCTCATGGACAGTGTCAAGAGCAGGAAAAACCTTTGTATTTCTCTCTCTCACCTTGTTGTTTCCTTTTCTCTTTCTTGCATTCCTTGATTTTGTTTCTGAACAATTGTTTCCAGTCAAATACTCACCAGACTCCAATTTTGTCATTGTTGGAGGCCTCCAGATGACACTTAAGCAACCACAGCAGTTGCTTTAACAGTGGATGTTGCTGAAAGAAAACAATGCCAATTTTATCATTTAATTTTCCCACAGGCAAGGCACATAATTCTGACTCTTCCAACCTTTRTACCATGGCCCTCTCCTGAGTGGTGCTCTAGGTCTGGCTACTGCACCATCTAACTGKGAAGGCTGTTGTTTCTGCTGGTGAAATACAAGGACACCTGTTCTTCCCTTGGAAAAYAGATTGAAGCCAGTGGCTCTTTTCGTTCAGGGCAGCAGATAATCATCCTTGGTTGTGGCTGCAGGTCACTGTTGATGCAAACCAGGCTCAAGTCAATGAGTCATTTCCAATCCCAGGAGAATCTGGGGCCCATTAGGAAGCATTATTTAAGCAGCCTATCCTACAGGATATAGCAGAACAGAAAATACTCTGAGAATTTGCCATTGTTTTACCTTTTACAATGGTAAGTATTTGTTCAAACCTTGAGTGCTGACCCCATGGTCTCCAGTCGGTTGCTGGTGGACAGGWCTGTGAGGATAAACAGGCACTGCAGCAGCTGGCACTCCTAATCCTGCTTGGCAGCCTCAGCAGAGGAGCAGGAATGTGAATGAGCTCAGACACTGAACAGCTTCCTCACTAGGGATGGGTTTCAGGTGTGCTGCTCTGGCAGCTTCTTCCTTCTGGACCTGCAGAGTGTCAAGTTTAAAGAAGTGCTGTTAAACATTGGTTTAACTGTTTATGTGCTTGGTTGGACAGGATGCAAATTGAGGTTGCAAGTAAATGCTTTACTGTAATTAGTTCTTTTGGCTGATTTGCATCCTGTTGGTACTGTTGTTGAGCCCTTTTGAGGACCTCTAAGCATGTTTTTTTTGTTAATTCCACTCCTCGTGAACATATTCAGACTATATTAGGATGAGAGGACTAACCTACGTGCATAGGTACTGAAATAAATAGAGAAACCCTTTACCTGTCCCAAGCTAAGTTAAAATGCACCAGTAAGACTTACAAATGACAAAATATCAGAATTTCTTTTAATAGAACCTGACCAGCGTAGCACTGACAGTCTGCCTTAGTAATTTTATGTACACATTTATCACACTCCTTAATCTTCTCTTTTTGCAGGGGCCTGAGTTGATGAATAAATACGTTGGTGAGTCTGAACGAGCAGTGAGAGAGGTGAGAATGGGGAASTTATGGGTAATATTAGATGCTAAGCTTTCTTGGCTTTCAAATTCTTCTCCTGCTTATGAAGTTACCTTTAAACTTTCTGAAAAACTCCCTCTGGTGTAAGYTTGRAAAAGAAAAGAAAATRATAAAGCAGCAGGGATRTTTTSTTTTGTTTAGCTTTCTCTTGCATTGGCCTACATGTCACATTTGGGATCCTGTAGCAGCTTTTGCTACAAGCCTRTATCATGAATAACATTAAAAAGTTTTTTGCAATTAAAGAACTCAACCCAAGGCGAGGCTGTTTTTTATGTGAAGTTCTGTAGCTTTTGAGGTGTGTAGGGGGTGAGAGTATACTGTAAACAGCTTCCATCCTGAGTATTTTGTTGTTTTTTCTAGATCTTCAGGAAAGCCAGAGCAGTGTCTCCTTCMATTCTTTTCTTTGATGAAATAGATGCCTTGGCAGTTGAAAGGGGAAAGTAAGTAATCCTGTTACAAAAATAACAGACATTATTTCCTGATAAATTACTCTTATGTTGTACAGTCACAAGTTTATTTACCTTTCTAGAATTATTTTATTAAAAATGTTCATTCTTTATACAGAAGGGTAATGTGTGACTTTTACTCAAGCCTATTTAACTTGGCATAAACAGGTAGGCAAGGAGTTCCTTCTTTCTCATTAGCAGGAATAATTCTAGTGGTTCTCATGCTCTTTGGCTCTTTTCTGTGGTTTTACCTTTTATTTCAGTAACTTAACTCCTTTCTTTTCCCAGGGTTGTTGCACTGGCCTAATTTGGTGTCTCCATCGAGCAAACAATATAATCATAAATTACATAACACAAATTTCCAAGGAGAMCTACTCATATATCTAAATTTCCACCTACCTTTAAGCATTGTGTCAGACTGGGAAAAGCTTYATGAAAAGATTTAGGAACACTTGTGTCCTTTCATGTGTGACATTAAGAAGGGATTATTGTGCAAACATACAATAGTATTCTTTAATATCCTGCTTTGTGTTGATTCCAAGAGATGTTTAATTTGTGTCTGAAGTAGGATTATTGCAGTTATTAGTTGCTACTACTGCATTTAAGATTTGACCAGCTCTGTAAGTGGACTTTCGTGGGAGATACTTTCTTATAAATGGAACTGCTATTTGTTGTGAGCAAGTTCTTTTATCCTGTTTTGCATGAAAAGCTAACAAATTGGTGCATTAAAAGGTAAGTGTCCAGTTTAAAGGCACATCAAAAAACTTCCAACATGTTTCTGGGAAAAAAGATCCCTCAGTATCCTTACAGATTCCTTTGTATTGCAAGAAGGACATTTGTATCTTCRGGAAAGGATAACAGGTGTCATTTTGACATGTCAGTGACCCAAATTAATTATTTGTGTCACAGAAGGTGGCATCACATGTAGCAGAGAGCTGCCGTGTGCGGTTGCTAAGAAATGAACATTCTTGCTGTTGAAAGTGCAAAATCTGATTATACATGTTTTTCTCAGCATCCTTCTCATGTGCAGTGTATGCAGCTGTGAAATTTGTGAGCTTCCTAGAAGTGTTATGCACTGAAACACCTGCCTGCTTATTACAACAGACAAATGGCAAAATTGTTTGCTTGAACCAAGCCAGTGGAGGGGGAAAAAATACCTTCCCCTGCTGCAGTTGTTAATGTGTTTAGCTTTCAGAACAAGCATTTTATCAAGATGAAACCTCTTGGAAGAAAATGCCATGACACATTATAAACAGCCTTTTCACATAGTGCTCTGGAGATGTTGAGTTTGTTTGCTTGTTTATTTTCTTTATTTTTTTAGGTAGTAAACAACCTGATTTTACCTTAGCTGGGACTGTCTGTGGGGGRTGGTAGGCCTGGTGCAGCTTGCTGAAGAATGTGGTGTGACCTGCTGCAGTTGTGTTGGGCTGGAGACATCTGGTTTTGGAGCTTTAAAAAGAACAGGGTGGGACACACAAATATTTCATTGTCAAATCTGAACCAGATGGGAGGTAAAATATGTAGCAGAGTTCTCATAAAACTTGTCTGAAATTAAATGGTGTAGGAAACCAGACAAGGCACTTAGTAGAAATGGCCCTATTTTACAGGCTGACTTTGCACAGTAGGAATTTGCAARTGCACTAGAGATGCTAACGATTCGTGGCCTCTGGAGATCCATTTCCTGTTCTATTACTAACCATGCTCAAGTTTTCAAGGAAACACCTGTTTATATTGTCTCCCTATTCCCTCTGTTGGCTGAATTAGTTTTTTTRCTTTGGCAGTGAAAAACACTCTGCAATACAGCTTTGTAAGAGGTTTTTCCTCTTGGTTTAAATCCTTGATTGGATGCTGTGGGCTTTGTGCAGAATGTGCCACATGCTCTATCTCCTGAGTGGCAACTGCTCCTGATCCTACTGGGACATGTCCGGAGATACAGAGAAGCTGAAACTGTTAAGTTGTGAGAGTAATTTTATGGATAATTCTGATCAGAAATACAGATGTGAAATAGTCTTGAGTAAATCACTTAATGCTTTTGTTCTTCAAAGCTTGCCAAGTATTGGCAAGGCATACTTCCTTGCCAAGTATTCATTAATCCATTATTTAGATTTGGATAAAGCTTGTAGGTTTAAACACAAATGTTTTGCTCCCAACCTTCTGTAGAGATCATGAAACAATCCCTTCTCAGCAGCAGGCACATATGAACTAATAGACATTGTAATTAATTACTGTACAGGTACATCAAGAAAGCTGAGGAATTTTCTTGTATTGACCATTCATTATAAKGTCTCCTTTGCATCATGTGGTGGATTCTGTCACTGCACAAGCCATTACTCCATGGTAAACACTACAGCTGCATTCAGTTATGCCACAGAGTTTTATTTATTGCACRTTCCCAAGCCATAATTCCATAAGTGTAATACATCCAACACTCTACCTAATGTAACTWTCATGTAGCAGTTTTGTTTTACAAAATGTATTTGTATGTGTTTATTAATTACAACAAATAATMCTTTGAAATCAGCAAAAGTTATATTTATTACCATTGTTCATTGTTCATTTATTACCATTGTCAGAATATATTATTTGGGAAAAAAATATTTCTTTTCCCACTTTCTATGAAGTTTCATATGTTTTATTGATACAAACTAAGCTTCTGGATAATTTTTCTTTTCTGTCCACACCCTCCCTATTTTACATGTAGGCAACACACCTATACATATTAATAAAGGAATTAGGAATGTGGGCTGGCTGAAGTAGTCGAGAGGGTGATTCTGAATAGACTTGAGTTTCCAGTGGGACACTGAAGACTGATAAAGATCCTTTGAGTTGTGTTCATTTCTGCATTTTGTTCTGTTACGCTGAGCTTCTCATGTTCATGAAGGGTTTTTCCAGCTCTTTCTGGTTTATGTAGAGATGTTAGACTAAGTTTAGAAAGAACTGAAAATGAGAAATTAGGGGCTCAGTGGCCTAAATATAGAGAAAAAGGGAGGCATTCACCATAACTGATTCTAAAGAAWAGATGATGAACCTGCAGCACAAAAGATGGTAGAAGGTTAGAAGTGTCACTGTGAGGTCTGAGGAGAAGAAATGATTGAGAAAGGAAAAGCTTCTGCAGTCATGCACCAGGAGAGGAGAGCCGTGTGATACACCGAGCCTTTCCCACTGCTCTGTGGCTCTGATAAGCATTTGCTTCCACAAACAGATTATGATTTTTCTTTTCTTTCCCTATACTTTTGAAACACGCTGTTAGGACTTTTTGTGGGACGGATTGCACTGAAGCAGGGCTGGTCCRGATACAGTGGAGTGTGAGCAGCAAAGTTTGCCTCGAAGTAATCCCGTGCCGGTACAAAGCTTGGGAATCTTTACAAATTGCACAGCTGCAGAGAGTTATGGGTATTTGTTACCMCTCGCTATCCTGAGCATGGAAAACCTAATTCTTCTGGCCATTAGRGGTTGCCAAGAGGGAAATGGCTTGGTAATTAGACTTGAAAGTGATGAATGAACATGGGCCTGTGGAAATGCAGTGCAGACAGTCTGTTTGCTGAACTTCAGAAATCTCCGTGCTTTGGAAATGGGACATTGTTTATACAAGTAGGATTTTTAGGATTTTTGGGCTAGAGACATCCTTTTCTTGTTTTTCAGAAGCAAAGCATTTCCCCTTTAACTACAAGTCTGTAATGTAAGATGGGAAGTGCTGTAGACTGCTGTAAAAGCCAGTCTATTTTCCAAGGGGGAGAAAAAAAAAGGAAAGGCCTGAAATCAGTACCTTGCATTTGATTTGTGGAGGCCAAAAGCTGGTAGATAAACATTGCTAACCTTTTCAGAGTGAGGGCAGAAGTGACAAACTGAAGCATCTTTCATACCWATTTTCTTAAACTGCAACATGATGATGCTTTTTTTGGGAAAGATATGCTGTCCATGTGTGCAGTGGAGAGGATAGACAGGTTCCTAATCCACAATTTAAAATTCACAGAAGCTCTGAAAGATATACTATTTTCACTTCAGGTATTAAAAAATTTGCAGTCTCAAGTTTTGGAGCTGTCGGGCTTCTAGAGGATGCTGTGAAGAACAGCAGCTTCTCTTCTGTACTGTGCCACCTGTGCCTTGARTAGGGATGGTGATAAATCTCTTTTTAAACTAAGATACCTTTCTAGAATATTTTAGCACATATTTATTTATACTCTACACTTGAACTTATCATTATATTTTAGTACCTGTGCAGATTCCCTGGTGCAGTGCACAGCCTCTGTCATGAAGGAGGTCAGTGTATTGCGTCCACTAATGAAACCCTGGCTGGACCCTGCAGGGATACAGCAAGGTGACATTAGGTAGTGTAGAGGTTCTTGGCAGAAATCCACCTTGCACAAGGTAAATTAGCAGTAGTGAGGATGGAGATGTCATTGTCACTATCATATTTCTCGTGCAAAGGGAGAACATGAAGGAAGTATATCTGGAAGAAATGGTTTCCTTCTGCCATGAATGTTGTGAGGGACCCAATTCTTGTCCAGCTAGTTTCTGGCTTCTGTTGGCACTGATGGTGTCCATGATTTGGGGAACATCAGCTTATTCCCTGTGATATCTGAACTGTGTCTGCACRTGATGGAGAATTGAGGCATTTAAAACTTTCATGACAGCTATATATGGATTCTTTAAAGTTTTGGAATTTGGTATCCAGACAAATAATATCTGGGGAAAAAAGCTGCATGCATAGTGCCAGGTTTTTATTTTAGGCCTAGCAAGAAGTGGTGAAAGAGGAAAGTTTTGAAAGAATTTTATGGCTTGTAATTGGTTTTGGAAGAGCAATTTTAACAAATAGTGTTACCCACAGTTTGTGTGTGTATATACCATATATGTCTGCAGTCCCTTTAATTTAAAACTAAACTTAGTGCTTTTGGCTAGCAAGGATCCTTTATCACTGTGTGGTTTTGAATCTGTATTTCTTCCTTTTTTTTTTACAAACCCCAATAATGTGTAACTTTTCAGCCTGCTTTATA